GTCTTTGTAAGACATTGTCTTAGCATGTGATGTTTGAGATTAAAGTTCACAGGGCAGGCGAGTTGGGGAGAGGAGATGAGGTAAGTGGGGAAACAGAGAAGACAGTCAGAAACCTATGCGCCTAAACTGAAAACCCTGAGGACACACTGAAACCCATGCCAGTTTCTCACTGCCTGGAACCTTGAAGCTGTGACTGTCTTCCTGGCAAAGCTGGTGCCCTGCACTGGGGAGTTAGGCATACACTCAGCCCAAGAGCTGTAAACACTGAAAGAGGATTCAGGGCAAAGTGGAGCAGCTGCAAGCCCCATCGTGACTCGTGCCAATGAGGTGAGTCAGTAGGCAATCAGCAACAGCAACCCGGCTGGTGCTTCACTCAGGCCCCGCCCTTGGTGCTACCGCCACGGTGGACAACTTTAACCAACAGAAACGGGTTCTCGTCATTTAGGAGGGAACGAATCTGGATTCACGGCCCCAGCTCCAGCGGCAGGTCCATGTCTCCTTTCACCATCCGTGGGACCTGCCTTCCTTGGAGAGCTTCATGTGTCCTGGCATCAGTCTTCCCCTGGGTGCGAAGGATGCGATCCTCTGATCCTCTCCGGAACCTTCTTTCGTGATGAGTCGAGTCCCTACCTCTCTGCTCACTTCTCCCTCCTTCCAGTCAGTTCCGACCCATGACAACTCTGTATAGGGTTTCTGAGGAACATCTGGAGGGTTTGAACCGCTTACCTTTTGGTTTGCAGTACAGTGCTTACCCCCACAGCGCCTCACCAGGACCCCAGGATGTTGTTTGTTGTTAAGTGACCTCGAGTTGGTACTGATTCATAGAGACCCATATAGGGTTTCCGAGGAGCAGCTGGTGAGCTTGAACCGCCGACCTCGCAGTTCAAAGTGATTTTGTAGTCCAGCGCATTAACCCACAGAGCCATCCCAGACCTCTGGATAACCTCTAATTGATAATGACTCTTACAGTTAATTGTCCATGGTGAATATAATGTTCAAACGAAACCCTTTATTTTAGAAATATAGAATCACCATCTTTTCTTTGTTTCCCAGAAGACTTTTGAACTTTTCTCCTCCCTTTCTGCACAGATAAAAGGAACATGGTGTTCTGGAAGGAGAATGAGGAGGGTGGGGCAGCTCTGCAGACACTGGCTCCTCCCCATCTCTGGATTCTGAGTGCACAGATGATCCCAGGAGGGCAGGATACCTGCCCTGGAGGCTACTTCTGGGACAACAGTCTGGACCCTTGAGGGAGGGCCAGGTAGCTCAGTGGCTGACCTCCTCTCCACCCACCCACCCCTAACTCTCCCTGGGGCCTGAGGGCGGAGGAACTGAGTTGGAACACATTTAAGCTGGAGTTAATAGGACCTGTTCATGTGGTTCGGTCAGGTCCTTGCTGGCTGTCCTGGGGCAGGGATGGCTTCTTCTGCTGGTGACTCACCCACCTGCACATCGGATGCCCCGCAAGAATATGTGTTGTAAACCCTAATCCCTCGATTATGGTTATAATCCCAGCTGGGAATAGCTTTTGTTCTGTTCCTGAGATAACATTAGTGTTGAGTATGTTTTAACCTGGTTAAATGAGCAAGTCAATAGACAGAATTGGAATGTCATGTCACATGGAGACCACCCAGGAGCCAAGGAACAAGGACTCTCCGCAGAGCCCAGAGAGGGAGAGCCTTGCCCTAAAGCTATTTCCCACTTCTAGTCTCCCAAATTGTGAGAAAATCCGTTTGTCCTAGGCGTTCACTTGTGGTATTTTTGTCACACTGCATTAATAACACCCATGGGTTAGTACGCTGAGTCCGGGGGCAGTGGTGGGCCAGGATGACCACTCATCTCTGGTACTTTGGACATGTTGTCAGAGAGGACCAGTCCCTGGAGAAGGGCATCATGCTTAATAAAGTGCTTTCATGCTTGAAAAGAGGAAGCTCCCCAAAGAGATGGATTAACACGGTGGCAGCAATTGTGAGCACGGGGCCGTACCGGGCAGGGTTTCGTTCTGTCGTACATCGGGTCCCTGTGAGTCAGCACTGACAACATGGGTTCATTCCCAGCTGGTGCATTTTATGTGCAACCGTCACTCAACTGGCAGTGGGGGCTTGCATGTTGCTGTGATACTGAATAGGTCTCGGTGGAGCTTCCTGGCCAAGATTACCTAGGAATTAACAGATTGGGGACGACGCAGGACCAGGCGTGGGTTCAAACCCACCACGGGGACAACACAGGACCAGGCGTGGGTTCAAACCCACCACAGGGACGACGCAGGACCAGGCGTGGGTTCAAACCCAGCAGCTGCTGAGGCTGCCTACCTTGTCCTATAGGGTCGCTAAGAATCAGAACCGACTCGATGACTTTTTTTTGGTCATACTATTACTACGTCAAGAAATCAAACGACATCAGGCAAATCTGCTGCACAAGACTTTTTAAAGTGTTGAAGAGCAAAGATGTCAGCTTGAAGACTAAGGTGCGCCTGACCCTCATATGCATGCGAAATCTGGACAGTGAATAAGGAAGACTGTAGAATTGATGCTTTTGAATTATGGTGTTGGAGGAGAATATTGAAAGTGCCATGGTCTGCCAAAAGAACCAATAGATCCGTTTTGGAAGAAGTGCAGCCAAAGTTCCCCTTGGAGGCCAAGATGGCCAACCTTTGTCTCTCATAATTGGGACATAATGTCAGGAGGGACCAATCACCGGAGAAGGATATCATGTTTGGTAGGGTGGAGGGTTAGAGAAAAAGAGGAAGACCCCCAGTGAGATGGATTGACAAAGTGGCAGCATCGATGGACTCAAGTGTGGCAACACTTGTGAGCTTGGCCCAGGATCGGGCAGTGTTTCATTCTGCTGTGCATAAGGTCGCTATGAGTCGGTACCGACTCGATGGCACCTAACCATTACTATGAGCATTAACACTGTTGGTTTTATTAGGTGTTATTGAATCAGTTTCAATACATATCAACCCTGTATAGGGTTTCCGAGGCCATTTATCTGCATAGGAGCAGAAACCTCCATCTCTCCTGTAGAGCGGCTGGTGGGCTTGAATCACTGATCATGTGGTTAAAAGTCCAGTATTTACCCCGACAGCACCACCAGCTCTCTCATACTACACTGTTGTTGTTAAGTACCTTAGAGTCAGTTCTGAGTCATAGTGACCCTGTATAGTTTCTGAGGCACACATCTGATCAACCATGTTAGAAAAATGTTTGAATTTGTTTTCTGTTCTTTGCATAAAACAATTCTAAAAAGTCACAATAAATCGAAGACTATGCTGCCAGAAATGTTAACAAAGCATTAGAGATTCATCAAGTTTTTTTTTTCCTCAATAGTTTTCAAAATGTCATTTTCTGTAGTTTTGCATTTGTTGTTGTTGTTAAGTGCCGTCGAGTCCATTCCGACCCATAGTGACCCTGTATAGGGTTTCCGAGGAGCAGCTGGTGAGCTTGAACCGCCAACCTTGCAGTTCATACGGCTTTGCAGTCTGACGCATTAACCCACAGCGCTACACCAGTTTTTAATACTTGTGGTCAATTTAGAAAATCTTTTCTCATTATTGAAAATATTTTACAAAGTTACTGTACAATATGAAGTTATTATAAAATGACATATACCTTATTACATTAAAAAAAAAACCCTCACTGTTTAGTCAATTCTGACTTGGCGACCCTATACAAAAAGTTTGTGGAAAATTCCCATTGTCTTTTAATTCTTCCAGAAACTTCTTGAAGCTTCTTTGTAGAACTGCCGCATAGGGTTTCCAAAGCTGTAACCAGGCAGTATGCGCCCTCTACCAGGCAGTTCTATTGTCCTGAAGGACCACCGTGGCCAGTCAATGCCGGCGAAAATGGGTCATCTTCACGCAAACAGACCACCTCATCTTTCTCCAGTGGGGCAGCTAGTGGCAATTCCTTACGCAAAAATATTCAAAATATTTAAAAAAAAAAAAAAAAACTTACACAAAGATTCCTTTAATTAACTCATTTTGTTTGTACAGTTTTCCTTCTTATTTCTAAATTGGTGGTGGTGTGAAGTGTTTGGCAGTTGTTTCCGACCCATAGCGGCACTGTACAGGGTTTCCGCGGAGCGACTGGTGAGCTTGAACTGCCAACCTTGCGGCTGAAACCTTGCAATCCGGCGCATTAACGCGCAGCCCCACACCAGGACTCCATTTCTAACAGTGAACCCCTCAAATTGTCTATGTCCAGGCCCACAAACGCTACCCCTGGCCCCCACTTGACTACCCAAGAGAGGCAGGAAGAACTTGACCCCAGGTAGACACCAGGGCAGTGGAATTCAGGTATAAGGCAGCGTCCACGTCTCCCGGTGTGGCACTGCGAGTTAATGCGCCGGACTGCAAGGCCCTTTTGATTCGCCAGGTCTGGGGTTCAAGGTCTCCAGCCGCTCCTCGGAAACTCTATACGGGGTCGCTATGGGGCTTAAGTTCAACTAGAGGAAAATTGCATATGAGGATTCTCCCCGCCCACATGGCCAGCCTGGGGGGCCTGACCCAAGGTGCCCACCAACGCCCGGGGATCCTGTTCCCCCTGCCCCTCTACTCCACGTATCCTCTCCTTCCGGTGCCCCCTTTTTTCCCCGTACCACTCTTTCCACAGTCCTGTTTTCCTAGAACCCTCCGCCCAGCGACCGCAGCCCCCTCCTCTCAATCCCCTTTTCTCCCGGCGCCGTCTCCCCGCAGGTGCCTCCGTTTCCTCCCGACCCCCCTACGCCCCTTTCCCCAAGGGCGCTGCTCCTCCGCAATGCACCCAATTCCTTCTGACGCCCCCGCTCTCCCCCTGCGCCCCTCTTCACCCAGTGCCCCCGTTTCCTCCCGACGGCGCCCGCTGCCCCCCCCTTTACGGCCCGACGTCGTGCGCTCGGGGGCGTCCCGGCGCGTCCTTAGACGAGCCGCGCCCGGATTGGCCTCGGGCCTCGGGAAGTGCCCGCCCCAATGGCCACGGACCAATGGGAGTCAGGGGCGGGACCGCGCGCCTCGCGACGTCGCGACGCCGCGCCGGGTCTCCAGTCGCCGCCGCGGAGCCGCCGGACCGAGCTGCCGACCGCGCCCGACCCGCCATGGCCGAGAGCGACTGGGACACGGTGACCGTGCTGCGCAAGAAGGGTCCCACGGCGGCCCAGGCCAAGTCCAAGCAGGTGGGCGGCGGCCGGGGCGGGCCGGGGCCGGGGCGGCGGGGACCGGGGCGCCGCCAATCCAGCGCGCAAGTGGACCCCGCTTCCCCGCGTCGTTAAGGCGGAGGATGGACGTGGCCCGGAGGTGCTGGGGGCGAGAGGTCAGCGGCGTGGCTGACCACCCGAGAGTCGTTTCGAGCCCAGTGCGTCCTTCCGTCTCCCGCAGGCGGCGGGTCGGTCATCAGCGGGCCTGTCACATCCCCCCGTTTCCTTACTGTGCCCAAGCACGGCACCCCAAGAACCCCGGGTCCCTGAGGAGCTCGAGCACCTGTTTACGTCGGAGGGGGCCCGAGAGTCTGGGGTCGATCTCTTGTCCAGCCTCTGCAGCGGGAGGGAAGCGCAGCTGCCTGTCCTTCGGTGGCCTGTCGCCACGCCACAAGTGACCAGTATCAGATTGTACAAGGCTGGACCTCGAACCACTTATCACTGTGCCCTCCTCCATTAGCGGTGTCGCTGTGGCCTAAGTGTTGGTTAGGGGTTCAAACCCACCAGTTGCCCCAGGGAGCCAGACGAGACGGCCCAGAAAACATGGAACCGACTGCATGGCAGTGGGTTTGCTTCAATGGGCTACTAGCTGGGAAGCTCACTGTAACCAAAACCTCTTCCGATTTTCTAGGCCATCTTAGCAGCCCAGAGACGAGGAGAAGATGTGGAGACTTCCAAGAAATGTAGGTACAGGTGTGCTTGGTTGCTCGTGTGTGTGTGTGCGCGTGCGTGCGTGCGCGCGTGTGTGTGCGCTCGCGCGTGCCCTCTTGGGTTGGTGGCTGGAGCCGTGTGACAAAGCTGTGTGCCCTTATCTTGGGGAGGATGGCTGCTTGCAGAGAGTTGCAGCCAGCCTGTGCTCTCACGAAGGCTGCGGTTGGGTCAGGAGGGTTGTTACTTTTACTACCACCTGGGCCACCTCCCACCCCTGAGGGAACAGTCTGGAACCACACACTCTTGGATCTGGGGTTGTTTGTGCAAGACCAGAAGCTTTTTCCAGCCAGGCTCCCCTCTGCAGGAATATTCCCAGGGCTTAGGGAGTCTGTCCAGCAGCCACACCAGCCCTCTCCTCTTGCTCCAGGGGCGGCTGGCCAGAACAAACAGCATTCGATCACCAAGAATACTGCCAAGTTGGACCGTGAGACGGAGGAACTGCACCACGACAGGGTGACCCTGGAGGTGGGCAAGGTCATCCAGCAGGGCCGACAGAGCAAGGGGCTCACACAGAAGGACCTGGCGACGGTGAGTCCCACCAGGCCCCGCTGCATCTGGACGGCCTCTCAGGCAGTTGTGTGCTCCTCTGGCTCTGACATGGCTTTGTTTTGTGGGGACCCCGGGCTGAGGCATAGTGGGCCTACGGGAGTGTCCTGACTGCCCAGCACGTCTTCGCTGAAGCCATGTGTATAAAGGCCATCTTCTCCTTAGAAAATCAACGAGAAGCCGCAAGTCATCGCAGACTACGAGAGTGGACGGGCCATCCCAAACAACCAGGTTCTGGGCAAGATTGAAAGAGCCATTGGTGAGTGGTTTGCCTGGGCTCCGCAGCTGACAGGAAGTGCCTGTGAACTGACGGGAGCTGGCTTCTGCCTCCAGACGGGGTGTCCCTATCTTGTCCCCACTCACCCCCAAGTGCTTTCGGTACGGTCCGAGACCCTATTGGCTCCGGCTCTTTGTAATTAGCTGTAAAGCAGTGAGGCATCCTTCCTTTGCTGCTGGGGCTCTGCCGTGGGAACGAAGTGTAGGGCAGGGCTCTGAGGATCTAAGAAGGGGTACCCGCTGTCTCCTGAGGGTTCTTTAAACTTGAGTGGAATTGTGGGGGGCTTCGAGTGTCAGGGGAGCCAGCGGGGGAGGCAGGTGGTGCTGCCGAGTCATCAGCTGGTGTCCCTTTGCAGGCCTCAAGCTCCGGGGCAAGGACATTGGGAAGCCCATCGAGAAGGGGCCGAGGGGGAAATGAGCACAAAGCCTCGAAATCAGTTGTTCCGGCTGATCTCGTCTGGCTGGTTCCCTACACCAGGACTGGGACCGGTGTGGGTCCCTTAGGCCAGCTGCTGGGGGTGGGGGGTGTTGACTCCCTGGGGCACCTCCTCACTCCATCCCTGCTGTCCAACTAACAAACAAAACCTTGCAAAGTCTTTGGTTCTCCTGCCTGTTTATTCCCCACTCCAGCCCGATGGGACCCTCATCCCTACAGGTGTTTCTGAGCTTGAGAACTGGGGTTCGGAGGTGGGGCACTGCCTGGGGAGTGGCTGAGGGTTGGCCGGGGGAGGTTCGCACCTCTCCACCCCACCCTACCCTATGCCCAGCTTTCAAAGAAGCTAATAAAAGTCCTTGCTCTTCCTACGGAAGTCTCATTCGTCTATAACACCCTCCCGCCCCCAGCCCCCATGTGGGGATGGCTGGGGGAGGCTTCCCTTACCCCTGAGGTCATTCCTGGGCCCCATGTCCTCTCTAGGCATTGTGGTCTCTGGCTCTGGGCCTGGATTCACCCTTCCAAGAAAGGGGAGCCCCATCACAGTGAGTGCCCTGCCTGAGTTGAGGGGCCTGCTTGTTGGGAGGCCCTACCCTCCCAGCAGACATTTCTGCCAAGGGACACCCCTTCTGCCTACACAGGGAGGCCTTCAGCCAGCCAGCCAGGCAGGCGCAGCTTCCACGGAGGGTTAGCTCTGGGCCTTGGGCTAAACGAAGACCTGGCAGATACCTGGCGCCTCAGCCCAGGTCAGGGACCCTGGGACTGTCCATTCCTGAGACTGCCCCTGTTGAGTAGCAGGACATGCAAGAATGACTTGGATATTCCCCATGGAGAGGGGACGTGGAGGACCTCCCCTGTGCAGTGTGGGGGCACTTGGGCCTGGCCTGGCTGCTACCCTCGCGCTCCAGCTCCCACCTTTGGCTGGCCCTCAGCCTGGCTCTCCTGCCCCTCTCATCACTTGAGATAACACGCCCCCCATCAGAGCTGGGGGGTGGGATCACTCCTGAGAGCCCCCCCCCCATGTGCAGGTCAGAGGGTGGTGGTCATATTAACCACAGCCTGCAAGTCCAATGGGTGGACAGCACAAGATTTATTCTTGGGGTGCATGACCGACACCCTTCCTGGTGTCTAGACAAGCTCTGGCCAATAGTGGAGACTGGTGGTCCCTCAGGTCCCCTCGGCTCCCCTCGGCTCCCCTCGGCTCCCCTCGGCTCCCCTCGGCTTCTGGGGCTGAGCCGGGGATAATGGCTGGCTGGGAACTGCCCTGTTCAGCTGCTCCCTTCCCCTGGCCACACAGCCTAGGGCCTGTAGAAGCGCAGAGCAGTCCTGAGCGGCTACTGGTCACTGGTGATGGGCGTCGGGAGTGTTACACTGTCCTGGGGAGGAAGGAGGTGAACAGGGTGTGGGGGGTCGGCCCCCAGCTAGTCCACAGGTGTCTCCCTCACCTGGGCTGCTCCTACCCCAGAGCGTGAGGGCTCGCTGCATGCCGTGCCCCCTTACCGCGTTGAAGAGAATGTTGTTAAAGCCGGTGACTGGCCCGGAGTCCCTGCGCCCTGGGAAGGGGCAGCCACCTTTCTTCTGGAGCCAGTGCCGCATGGCCAGTCCTAGCAGCACCAGGAGCAGCAGAAGGAGGAGGGCGCTGCCCACCGCTGACGGCACCAGAGAGGGTGCGGTTTCGCCCCCTGGGGGCCGGAGGGAAGGACGAAACCTGAGCCTGGAGACCCTCGGGGGCTCCCGGGGCCCCTCTTACACAGGAAAAGCACCTAGCTCAAACCTTCCCAGCAGTGGATTCAGGCTGGGCCAGCAGACCGGCCTTTTGTGGGCCTTGAGGGGCTCATGGACTGACTGTACCTCTTCCCCCTGGCAGGGGCCACCCTGAATTCCAGGGCCCAGCTGGGCTTTGGGGCGTGGATGTGGAAGGGCTCTAACCAGGACAGCTGGCCGAGGGGCCCCTTAAAGTGGACAGAGACTCCCAAGCAGGGCATGAAGAATGACAAGGCAGGCAGTGGGCAGGGTCAGTAGGCATGCTGCAGGCCCCCCTCCCCTTCCATCTCACCCCTGCTGGGTGCCGAGTCTTGGCAGGGCCGTCCCGACAGGTACTCGATGTCGTCCAGGGCGATGGGCCCCAGGGTTGGCTGGCCCCCTAGGGTGGCTTCAAACAGCACCTGGGAGGCAGAGAGAAGGGCTGAGTGGATCCCAAGAAGGGGCTGGGGCCCACCTCCATCTCCTGCTTCGGGTTCTCCAGCAGCCTCACCTGGAATTCTTCAGGGCTGACCACGTCCACTTGGCCCTCCAGCCACTGATGTCTCTGGAGGCTGCCCGCCCCCCACACAGCCAGCTGCCCCCGGACACTCCTCAGCAACACTCGGAGCTCCCCTTTGTCTGCAGGCAGAGGACAGGGCAGTCAAGGCCCCCCAGAAGGCGCCCCCCGAGCCGCCCAGGCCCAGCTGGCCTCGCCTCACTCACAGAAATGCTCGGGGAAACCTATGTAGAACCAGAATCGCAGGCAGGAGCCCTTGGTGGCAGGCAGAGGCTCACTTCGCAGCCAGGCCGCCCGGCCCCCCGGGCCCAGCACACCGCTCTCAAAGTAGGCAAAATGGCCTGGGACAAGAAGGGGCAACAGGCTACCAAGAGGTCCTGGGCAGCTGATGTTGAACCACAGCTCAATCCGCACTCCAGCCCAGGTAGGGGAAGCTGGGGCTGCCAAGGGCCCATGTCTGGCCCCAGAGGTCAACTCTGGTTCCAGGCTGGGACCCCTTCTGGGCTTGGCAGGACTCACCTGCCTCGGTGCCCAGGGTGTGGTCCACAGGGGGCTGGGAGTACCGGGAGGGCGTGGTCCCACTACTCCAATCCCAGCTGTATCCGCCCAGGCCAGGCCAGGGCAGGTGGTTCCAGCCACACAGACCGAACTCAAAGTCACAGGACGCTGCAAAGAAGTCCAGTGTCACTGCCCTCCCTCAGTCCCCAGCCTCCAAGGCCTACCTGTGGGCCTAGGGGCAGTGGGCCTGGCAGCTGGCAGCGGCTCCCACCTGGCCTAGGGCAGGGTCCGTCCTGGAGAAATAGGTCATCCACTGCAATGTATGAGTGTTCCACACCTGCTGCCTGGGCCTCAAACACCACCTGGGGGCACAAGGCAGGGAGCTCAGCCTGGGGCCTGGCCCAGGTGAGGCCCCATCCCCACTGGCCCACTCACCCGCCAAGCCTGCTCCGCCTGCACGTCCACACTGCCCAAACGCCAGGCTGCCCCGCCGTGGGCACTGATGCTGAGCACCTGTCGTTGCTCACCCTCCTCCACGTGGACCCGCAAGGTGCCTGCCAGTAGGGCCGAGGTCACACATGCACCAAGTCTCCCGAGGTCCACAGCCCAGACACAGGGAGGACTCACCTGGGTTTTGCAGACTTAGGTGGTACCAAAAGGTCAGGCAGGCGGGCTGAGCTAGGGGCCTGTGTTCCTCTGAGGTGAGGGAGGCCACGAGGCCACGGGACAGGGCCTGGGGGCTCATGTCCACCACCATGTAGTGCCCTGGGGGCAATGCCAGTGTCAGTGACCCTTGACCCTTGATCCCTGAGCCCCCAGACCTCAGGCTTCCCAGGACCTTGTGCTGTCTCAGTGGTGTGGTCTGTGCGGGGGCCCTGGGAGGCCTGGCCTGTGGCGCTGGCCTGGCGCCTCCAGAGGCCTTGGCCACCCGTGGAGAAGCCGCAGGCTGAGTCCTCGAAGGAGCAGCGCCTAGGGGCCCAACAGGGCCCAGGCCGCACGGCAACATCGTCCAGCCCCATGGTGCCCTGGAAGCCGTCCCGCAGGCCCTCGAACAGCAGCTGGGGGGGAAGAGTTAGCTTCAGCTAGCAGGAGCCCCCAGCACCCCATTCCCAGGCTGGGAGGTCAACCAGACACGGGGTCAGTTCTCGGGTATGGTCTAGGCCTCTAGCTTCTCCCTCCCACTCCAGAGATGGGGGCTGGGGAGGTGGTCAGCAGGGAGAAGAGGTCAGCAGTGGAGCCTCAGCTCCCAGCCCCAGGCTGGCCTGCTAACCTGGTACTTAGAGTCAGGCTGGTGGGTGAGGGTGGCCCAGGCCTGGTGCCACCTGTTACCATGGGTGCCTGAGCGTGACCACAGAACAGTCTCCATAGTCCCTTCCTGACGCATGGACAGGCGCAGTGTCCCTGGAGGGAGGGGCTTGGTAGGAGACCAGATCCTGTGTGGAGCCTCTCCCCCACCCAAAGGAGCCCATGGGTCACGCACCGATCTGGGGCCCATGAAGGTGATACCAAAAGGACAGGCACTCAGTGGGGGCTGCCGGTGTCTGCAGCCTGGTGAGCAGGTAGCCACCAGGACCCCGGGCCAGAGGCTCCACAGGGTCCAGGAGCACGAAGTGTCCTGCATGTGGACAAGACATCAGGAAGATTGGTGGATGCTGGGCTGCTGGGAAGGCACCCAGCTCCCAGGGGCCCAGCCCTACCTCGGCCAGTGGTGTGGTCATAATTAGGGCCTCGGCTCTCTACCCGTTGCCACTGGGCATCCGTGAGGTGGCCGGAGTGCCAGCCGCACATGTCCCGTTCGAAGTTACAGGTGACCTCTGGGGGTGGGGCCAAGGCTGGTCAGCTCCGTCCTGCCCCTGGCCCGCCCCACCGTGGTTCCTGGGCACAGGCACCTTGGTCCTTCTCTGTGGTCAGGGTGGGATCGCAGCCCCTGAAAGTCACGTTGTCCACGCCAGCGCCTTGCTGGTAAGGGCCATCCAAGTCCACCAGGGTGACAAACTCCAGCTTCACAGGGCAAAGGGTGGGCTTTAGGGATGACAGTTACGCAGGGGTAACCTCAGAGCCCCCTCCGGCCTCGCCAGACTGTCCCTCCTCACCCGAAAAGGTCGGCGGCGTGCCCCAAGTGAGACTGTGTGCACCGTCCAGCCACCATCGCTGCTGCCCTGGACACTCCACAGCAGCTCCCGGGAGCCGTCCTCTACAGCGACCAGCGCCAGCAGTCCTGTAGACACCACGCGATGGGTGTCGGTCCCCTCCTCCCTCCTTCCTTGCTGGCTTGGCCCCCAGATCAAGTACCTTGGGGGTGACTCTGCAGGTAGTAGGTCATGTGGAGCTCACAGGTGGGACCCGAGGGGCCCAGGGCTGGTGTGAGGACCCGGGCTGAAGTCACCAGCTGCCCCCAGGCCCTCTGCAGGGACAGGAAGTGCCCTGTGGGGGAGGGGAGAAGAGCACATGCTGTTTCCCTCTCTGTGAATGGGCCCCCCTGCTGGGAAAAGCAAGCCAGGAGCCTCACCTGAAGGTCCCTCATTCTCCTGGGTGGTCATCCGCTGCCACTGCAGCTGCCCCACGCTGATGTCCTCCCAGCCCCCTGCTGTGGACTCAAAGTCCGAGGTGCCTGCAAGCAGCTGGTGTTGAATGTATCAGGGGCTCCCAGTGGCCTGCCGGGACCCCCAACTTGGCCCAGACCTGGGTCCCCCTATGCTGGCCCTCACCGCATCCTGTCCCCTCCCCAGCCCTCACCGCGTCCTGATCCCCCCACTGACCCTCACCGTGTCCTGCCCCCCCACTGGCCCTCACCGTGTCCTGCCCCCTCACTGACCCTCACAGTGTCCAGCCCCCACTGGCCCTCACAGTGTCCAGCCCCCACTGGCCCTCACCACACTGTTGCTCATCCTGGCCCTCAGCACATTGCTGCTGGAAGTCACACAGGTTTTCTGGGGGGACACACAAGTCCCCACAGGCGAGGTGCCCGGGCTCACAGGAGTCCTGGGGCTGAGGGGACTGCAGGGCAGTGGCCCAGGACTCAGGAGGTGGCGCCTGCAGGGCGGATGGTTCTGGGTGGGGGAGGGGGAACAAAACTGGGTCAGCTGGGGGAGGGGCAGTGAGTGTTTGTGGGGGACTTGGGGCAAGCTCACCCAGGACTGCAGTGCAGTGGTCCGACAGAACGAGGTCGTCCAGACCCACGACACCCCCTGGGCCTGTGTGCCCTGTCAGCAGGATCTGCGAACAGAGGGGCTCAGGGGCACCCATCACCCTTGCGGCAGGCTGTTCCTCTCCCCACACACCCTTCTCAGGTTGTCTTCTTGAGAACCAAACTAGCCCGCCCTGCTGAGTGAGGACCCCTGGGCCCCAGCGTCCTGCCCTCCAGCATCATCTGCATGCCCCCCCACCCCAGCCTCCCTATTCCTCCTGTCCCCAAGCAGCCTCCCACATGGCCCCTGCCCCACCTGGCCTCACCTGGAAGGGGTGAGCACTCCAGATGTCCACTCGGTCTCGGACCCAGACATCTCCCAGTTCCCCTCGACGGCTCCGTAACAGGACGGGAGCTTGAGGGGCCCCAGGGTCCTGGAACTGCAGGAACACCTGAAGGCTGCCAGCCTCAGAGCCTCGCAGATAGTGATAGAAGACCAGCTGGGGGGAGAGTCACAGTCAGGGGACATCCTCCAGCGGGGGATGTCGTCCGCTGGTCCTGTCCCCACTCCCAGCAGTCTCACCGTGCAGTTGTGGGTGCCTGAGGCTTGGAGCTGGGGGCTGGACAGGACAGCAGGGTTGCTGGACTCAGACATGGTGATGAGGAAGGCGCCTGGGGGGAGGCGGGCAGCAATGACCACATAGATGAGTGACGGTGGCCGGGTAGGTGGCCGGGGCCAGGCCCCAGGTGCTCACCCTTTGCGCTGTTAAGGCTGTGGTCTCGGCTTGGCCACGCAGAGTGCTGGATACCTCCAGCACTGTGGTTCCGGGACCACCCTTCCGAGTGACTCCATGGACCCAGGCCCGTCTCAAAGTCGGTGACTGTGTGGTGGCCTTGGGTTGGGGCAGGGGGAGGTGAAGAGAGTTCAGGGACCCTAAGCAGGGTGGCCTCCCCAAGCCCGGCTTCCCCCAGGATCATGCCGCTGGTCCCGCCCGACCCTGGCTGAGATCCACCCTCTCTATAGGCACCCAGCCAAGAGCCTCCAGGAGGGTGGGGTCTCACTGCAGGTGGCGGGGTCCTCGTCCGAACGGTCCCCACAGTTGTCTTCTCTGTCACAGAGTTGCTGGGACTCCACACAGGCTTTGTTCCCACAGTGGTGCTGCCCCGGGCGACAGCTGACCCTGGGGACTGAGGGATCCTGTCAGCCTGGCCCCAAGACCCTAGGGGACCTTTGGGGGTGGGGGTGGGACTCTGAGAGGGTCTAAGCAGAGAGCAGGCAGGGCTGAGGGACACCCGCTAACCATGGTCCCCTCAAAGGCACAGTGGAGCTGGCGTTCATTCTGAGATGGCATCCGTCCCCAGGCAGAGGGCTTACCAGGCAGCCCGCAGTTCCAAAACTGCACGTCGTCCAAGGCCACCGTACCTCTGTGGGTGGCATTTCGGGTAGCAGAGAAAGTCACCTGGCAACAGGAGGAACTTAGATCAGGCCCCTCCTAAGCCCCCACTGCTCAGGAGGATCCTTGTAGCCCAAACACCCCCAGCTCACCTGGAAACTGCCCCAGATGCGGCCTGTGGCCACCTCCAGCTCCTGCCAGCCGGGGCCCCAGGGCCCTGAACACTGCCACAGGGTCAGCGTCTCTGTGCTGTGGGTCAGCTCCAGTCGAAGCTCAGCCACATCTGTGACAGGGAGGTGCTGGGCAGCTGCAGCCCCTAGTACCTCCCCGCACCTGCCCCCATCCCTGCCTCTCCCTTGGGGACCCCCCACTCTCCCCAGCAGCCTGGGCTCCCTCACCTCCCGAGGCTGCGTGGAACCACAGCCGGATCTGGCAGGAGACGGCCGCCTCATGTAGGGTGGGTGAACGAAGGACTGCCGTGGACACCTCCTTCCCTCGGTGGGTGTCGACAGCCACATACCAGCCTGGCCGGATGAGAGGGTCAGGGGACAGGACAGGAGACCGGGGTGGGGAGGGGTCGAGGTGATCTGGGCCTCACCCAGGTCAGTGCCCAACGTGTGGTCCGAGCGTGCCCCGCCAGCCCCCTGGAGCGCAGCGCCTGCCCGGTCTCGCAGCCAGCCGTAGCCTGAGGTGCTGATGTCCTGCCATCCACAGGAGTCTCGCTCGAAGTCACAGACGAAGGGGGCACCCAGAGCGGCAGCGGCCTCATGGAACCCTGGGGAGTGTAGGGGTCAGCGACTGCCTTGGGCCCCGCCCAGGCCCAGCCCCCTGAACTCACCGCACTGCCTCTCATCGGAACAATCCCTGCAGTCACACAGGAAGTTGCACACAGCCTCCCAGGGGGTCCCGCAATGGTTGGGGACCCAGGCCCAGGCCAGATACCCTGCTGACAAGGCAGCCAGTGACTTGAAGGCAGAGCCACTGGACGGTCTCAGGAAACCCCAGACAGCTGGAGCCAGACCTGGGAGAGACTGCTGTTCTGGGGGCCCCACATCAGTGCCCTCCTGAACCTGTGACCCAACCAGCGGGGGAAGCACAAGGGGAACCAAGACCCCACATCAAGGAGTGGGGTCTGTGTCAGGGCCCTGGGTCTATCTTTAGGTGACCATCTCCCCTCCCAACTGCTACCCTGAGAATAGCAAATACAGGTCCAGGAAGCTGGGGAAGGGGGCCTAAGACCCAGGACCTGAAGAGCCCTCCACCATGCCCACAAGCCTTCTCATGGGAACGTCCGTGCCCAGGAGCCCTGCCCACCCTGCTGCAGGTGGGAGGCTGACAGCTCACCTGAGAACAGGGCCATGGTGGCCAGGAGGCAGCCAGGCTGATGCATGACTGGGGCTGAAGCAGAGAGGTGTGGGGTTGGCCAGAACTTGGTCTGCAAGGAGCCCCTCGGTTCAGTGGCTGATTCTGCTGTGCGGGAGTGGTGGGGCTTGGCTCCACAGGTACCTTCGGTCCCCACCCTCCAGATCACCTCTGCTGACACAGCTGAACACCCAAATCTGGCTGGAAACACCCCAGTGGGGGGCCCCTGATCAGGGTCAAACCCGCCTACCCACTCTTCAAATGCCTGGCCAGTGGGGGCCCCATGAAACCTGGTGGCGCCCAGGTGACCTACCAACTAGGATCTGGGGGGTGGTGTAGATAAAGACTGCAGCTATCGCTCCTGTGGCTTCCAGCTCCACCTGGGCGGCCAAGGTCAAGGCCCAGGGCTATGCAAACCCCCCCAGTGTTTCTTCTTCCTTGCTGCGGCGCCCCAACCCCTGCATGCCCTGCTCCAGGCCTGGAATCCCCAGTCTGGTGACCCTGCAGACTGATAGGCACAGGGGGCGGGAGCCAGGCTCCATGGGACCACCTCCCTCAGAGAGCTGGCCCAGAACTCCAGGGACCATAACGCTGAGTCCTATGCCAATGAGGAGCACACTGACCACCCGCAGCCACACCGGCTAGTTTCAGGGGCAGGCATCAGAACCTCCGTGAGGCCCCTCACTTTTTATCCAGACTCTCCATTACTCTGCCTACACCCTGCTTGCTCCCAGAGCTCATCTCCCTTGCCCCCCATCACCCACCAGGCAGCCATCCCCTCTGTGCTACTTCAGGGCTGAGCAGTCATCACCCCTTCAGTGTGTGTTGTGGGGGCAGTGTGTGCTGCTGGCCGTGGAGGCCAAAGTGCCCCATGTGAGACCTGTGGGAGGGGCCTCCGGGTATGGTCTCAGAAGCAGCAGGTCAAATGCTTACTCCCATGGGATCCCAGGGGGCACTAAAGAGGCCTCATGTGACTGAAAGCAGGCAGAGAAGCCAGCACTGACCTCTTGCATAACATTTGTGCGGTCTCTCCCAGATGGCCTTGGGGATACCAGCTGCAGAGGGCAATCAGGCCATAAACTAGGATGGAGGAACAAGGTGCACTGGCCCCTTATCAGACTCCAAAGGGCTGAGTGTGCACCCGAGCCCCAGGGCCTTCGGAAACAAGGGGGTGGACAGGATAGTCAGGGCCCCTGGGGGCTGTGGGCAGGAATGCCAGAAACAGGCCAGGAGCCAGGTCCAAGTGACAACACTTTAATTCCCATGGGGGCCCCAGGGCCCCAGCTGTCTGGTCTCCCTGTGCTCAGGGTGAGAGAACAGGGCCCAGCCTGGGGCACGGTGTCCATCCACTTGTGGTCTCAGGGGGCCTTCAGTAGCCATCATCAGCCCAGGTGACCTCATAGTCCGGGTACTTAGCTTTGATCTTCTCGGTAGTGATGGAATGCTGAGCACGCCCATAACCCTGAGAAAAGGGGGCAGGTGCTGACACCACTTAAGCCTTTCAGTTGCCCCTTCCCTGGTCTGGTGCAGACCACCCTGGGGGCGCTCCAGGGACAAGGAAGTCTCCGTGTCCATTAGGCCATTCATCTGGAGGCCTGCTGGACATCGTGAGGCTAAACGTGGTGGCGGCTTTGACTGAAGGAGGGGGGATCTAAGTTCCGCAGCAAAGGGTGGTGGGGGTACCCCAATACTGGCAGCCTGAGGGGCAGCAAAGGTTAAGAGAACCCAAGGTTGTGAGCACAAGCTCCGGACCCCTCACCATGGAGTAGCCGTACACGTGGATCTTCTTGTCCTGACTCTGGTGGGAGATGCGCCCGCCGCCCAGGCACTCGCAGCCGCAGCCCTTTCTCTGTATCTCGCCCGACACTTTATCGTAGATGTCGGCTGCGAGAGAGGGCGGACTCAGGACGTGCTCAGAGGCCAGGTGCACCCCCTACATCCGAGTCCTCAGTGCAGAGACGGGGACTCGGGATGCGGCCATGAGCAGCCGGCGGGGCTACAGTAACATACCCCCTCCCCGCCCGCGCCCCCCACCCCCAAAGAAGAATGACTCCTTGGAGCCCACACTGGGTGAGCAGCCTCGGACGCTCTAACTTCTGCGGAGTCTGGGGTTTCCGACTCACCCCTGAGCCCCGGCCCACAGACCCTGAGCCCTCAGATCCGCCCCAAGCTCCCAGCCCCGCCCCTCCCAGCCTTTCGGACGCCGATCGGGCTCCCGGATCCCGGCCCTTCCCCTAAGTTCGGCCCATCAGAGGCTGACGACGGCTCCGCCCTAAGACTCTAACTCCACCCCCTCAGCACAACACTATAGGCGCTGGCCCCGCCCCTCGGACGTCGGCCCCGCCCTCACCGTGGTACTCGGCCCACTTGTAGCCGCGCACAATCTCTTTACTCTCCGCGTCTTTGGCGTCGGAGGGTGGTGCCGTGTGGACTCGAATCAGCACATATTTGAAGACGCCGTCAGAGTCGATGTCCACATCGGAAATCTCAGCGAGGCCCGCTGCCGCCATGTTTTACCGGCGTGCGCCCAGACCCCCAGCTTCTGCAGCCCCTACCCCACTTCCCAATCTGGGTCAATGTAGACGGTGCAAGGGGTAGGCTCTTGGAAAGCCTTGACTAATCCTGTGGTGAGATGCTGCCCAAGCCGTGTAACCACAGCCAATCGTATTACGATTCGAAGCGTAGCCTAGCCAATCGCAACCCAGCTCTTAAACTTGGACCCACACTGGTTACACTTAAAGGGGAACGAGGAAATTGGGAGGGAGGGAACTGTGATTAAAATCCTGCCGACTGAAAAGATATTTTCCAGTAGTGCGGGGGAGTTGGCGGCAGCGGCTGACAGGCGCCTCTGGAGGGGGCACTTAGAAGCTAGGAGGCTGCCTGGAGCCCGAGTGATGCGCCCCAAGTCCCCACCCTTTGCTGCTCAGGGACCCCCGGAAGCTGTCCGGACTTCCCCTCCTCGCGCCCTCTCCCCCCCCTCCCCCCCCGGTCTTCAATGAGGCAGCCGGGGCTACATTCAAGTTCTAGTTTACTTGGCTCGAAAGCGCTTGCCCTCTGGAAACAATCATTCCAGGGCCGCTCCGAGCCGCTTCTCGGGTGAGGGACCGAGTGCAGGGGGCCCGGGGTGGCGGCCGCTTTAGGAGACCGCGAAAGCGGGGCGCCGCGGCCGGTGCAAAGGAGCTTGCGGTGCAAATGCGCAGGCGTGTCGGGGGCGGAGGGACTGGCAGGATCCCGGGTGGGCGAGCAGTAGGGGCTGGGGGTGCCCACGATTTAGCTCGTTCGATACCCCCCTCCCTGATGTGATGGAAGGTTGGGGACTCCAGGAGGAGGGTCCTTTTGGACAGCGCACAGTCTTTTCTCAGCTTCCGGTCTCACCCCCTCCCTGGCCTACAGTCGTCTCCTATCCTGGTCACTGGGATCTCCGTGAGTTCCCGAGGGCGGGGGCCTGAGGGTTGCCTCCGGCTTTCAGTCACCTGCACGGGACCCAATCAGAGCAAGCGCTGAACCACATCTGTTGTGATCCTACCGGTCATCCCGCCTCCGCTGGACCCCACATCGTTCTACCGGCTCGTTCCCGCACCTGCTCCCACCTGTTCTGCAGCCCCCACCCCGTCAAGGCCTTACTCATCCATCCTTTGCAAGTGTGTCTGCATCCAGAGGGTCTAGGGACAGCACTGTCATTGTGCCCCCACCCCACCCCACCCCACCCCCAGTCAGGCCTCAGCGCAGCAGCGCCACCGCCCTTAGCGCCTGCTTTCCTGCCTGGATACCCAGCCCTCTAACTGGATGGCTTGTGCCGTGGCCTGAAAAATCATCCCTGTCGCTTTCCCGGCGTGCCTTGCAGGCCCAGGCCAGGGCGGGAGTAAGGCCGGAGGTGAGAGGACTGCAGGGTACAGGGCTGCTCATGTGAGGGCCAGACTTGGTCTCTGTCCTACCGGCCAGGGACCAGCGGACAGCACCATGTGGCCCACAGGGCTTTGACAGGACACCGAGGGTGTTCTCCAGTAGATAAGGTGGACACATCCCGAAACAAAGCTGAGGGTCGGATCGATGGGCGACTTTAAAGTGAAGACTAGGGGCTTTGGTCAACACCGGGCTCCAGGAGGAGCGGAAGCCCGCGGACCGATGTGTGCGCGCGGCGGGGATCTCCGCTTGAAGGCAGGGCCCTGGGGGTCCTCAGGCCATCCCGCCTCCCGCGGGGAGCACCAGCGGCTGAGGACCGGTCTCTGGGACCCTAGGGCGAGCCTGGACCGAGAAGGATGGGGTACGGGGGCCAAGTGAAGAGGTTGTTAGTGTGCGGGAAAGAGAGTTGGGGGGGGCGCTGGCAGACAAGGTGGGGGGGAAGGGGGAACTTGGGAGAGTGGCTCAGGGAGCTGGAAGGAAGAGCTATGGGGGACACTCCCGAGGGAGACCGCAGGAAATCAAAGCGGGGCTCCGGCTTAAGAGCTCTGGGTGGAGCCTGGGGCTTGATCTGGACAGCTGGAGCACCCGCCGGCTCACATGAGGTCATCCAGCAGATTGGCGCTGGCCACCCAATCGAGCGCGCGTGGCTCAGAGGCGGCCATGATCATGCACATGAAGGGGCGGCCAGTGCGCCGGTCGGTGGGGTAGATGGTAGTGGGCGTGAAGCGCCGGTTGGCCTCGACGAACTCGCAGAGTTGTTCGTAGACTCGTGGGAACTCGTGGCGCAGGAAGACGCCGCGCAGGCGCAGCTCTCGCTGGATGTGGATGAAGGCGACCTCGCGCGCGCGGCGGCCGGCCTCGCCTTCCTGATCCAGGCCAGCGGTGCCGGGCGGCGGCGTCAGGATCAGCGTCTCCATGTCAGCCTCGCGGCCTCGTGCTAGTGGCGGGCGCGCGGGACTGCCGGCCGCCAGAGCCACCTTGGCGAACTTGCGTACCGTGGGGCCGGCACTGCGCGGCGCGGGTCTGCCAGGGGCCCCGGGGGGCGCCGCACCGGGACCTACAGCCACGGACACGCTGAGCAGGAAGCACTCGGCCGGCTCGTAAAGGCGCCCAGCAGCCGCCAGCTCACGCGCGTAGCCACCCAGGGGCGCGGCGTGTGTAGCCAGCTCGCGCAGCGACAAGTAGGTGGGCGACAGCAGCAGCCCCTCCAGGCCGAAGCGCAGGAAGTTGTCGGCCGAGCCGGGACTCGGGAAGCCCAGGAAGAGCACGCCTCGGCCACGCGACAGGAAGCCGACGCGCGCGATGCGTGAGAAGGCGCGGTGCACCGGGCCGCTGTCACGGCAGAACTGCAGCACGTGGCGGCACACGCTGCCCACGCGGCCGTACACGCAGCGCGCCTTGTGCGCGTCCCAGTCCTCGCGGCGGCACAGACGTGAACAGTAGTAGGTGTAACAACTATGACACGACTTGAAATAGAGGCAGGCATTGAACATAGTCTCGGTGCGCCGACAGCGTGCATTGGAACAGGTCATGAGGTCATCCTCGTCGGCGCTGGGCTCTGGGGACGCGTCGGCCGCCTCCCCTGAGCCCGCCGGCTCCTCTGCGCTGCCGGCGGAGGCGGGCGGCGAGCGAGCCAGCGCCAGCGCGGTGCCTGCGGGCCTCAGGTCCAGCAGACGATGAAGCTGGCTGCCCGGGCTACCAGCCGCGCGCTCGGCGGCCGGGCCTACTGGGGGCCTCGAGTCGATGACCAAGTCTGTGATAAGCTCGTCTAGCTGCTCCAGGCTGCGCTGGCGACCCGGGGCAGGGCCGTCGGCCGCAGTGGGCGGCGGCGGCTGCTTGTGGCTCCCAGACACCTCCCAGGCCCTGGCCGACGGGCGCTCTGCGATGCGAAGGTCGTTGTCCGTAATGGTGATCTCTGGTGTGACATACCAGGCTCGGCCTAGGCCTTCGCCAGCGCGACCTTTCTCTGACAGCGACGTCTCAGACAGAGACAGCGCCGCGTAGCGCCGGGGGGAGGTGGACAAGTTTACGATGACCGGTGGGCGCCTGCCTTCGGGGGATGAGGCTCGAGGCTCACGCGCTTCACGCCCCAGCAGGTTCTCATAGCTGCGGCCGCGGCCCAGGGGGTCATCCCGACGCGGCGCAGGAGCCAGAATGTTGTCCCAGGAACGAGAGTAGTGGCGGCTGTCGGTGACCAACCGGGGTGGACTGGTACCCGTGCCGCCATGCCACGAGGCGAGCAGCGGCCCAGAGTCCGGGGGCGGTGCCACCTGCAGGGTGCGGTAAGGCCGCGGTCCCCAGTCGCCCCAGGCTGAGCTGCCGCGTGGGTAAGGGTAAGTCCGAGCCAGAGCGTCGCGCTCACGGTACCGTCCCCAGTCCTCCGTATGGAAGGATCGAGCCGCTGGATGGACCCGGGGCTCCTCCGGGACATAGCGAGGGCCGCAGGGCGGGCCGTAGGCGCGGGGCACCTCGTTGTAGTAGGAGCGGGAGGGAGGCTCCTGTATCGGGAAGGCCCGGACTTCCCCCGTGTAGTAGCCGCCCCCATGCCGAGGACTGGGACCCGGAGGCTCTTCAGATGCATAAGGCCTGGGGCAGTAGCCATCGAAGGGAGGGCCTGGGCTGACCGCAAAGCCGCCGCCGGGGTAGACCTCGGGATCCTCGGTGTAGAAGAATTGGGTGGGACCTGGTGGGGTGGCGAAAGACAGGCTGCGGCGCTCTGCATAATCCCGGGGCCCAGGCAGGGGCCCGTCGCAGTACAGCGCTCGGGGGTCCGCACAGTACGAGTCGCTGGGGGTGGGCGTGCGGGACAGTGCCACATGCCGAGGGCCTGGAACTGTGCGGCTGTGCAGCTGAGGGGCGCCGCGGACCCAAGGCGCAGCGTTAGCGAGCCCGGAGGGCCGCGGGCCCCGGGCGGCGTGCTGCAGCACCGCGTCGTCCGGCTTGATGTCCAGGCGACAGCGAACGTGCGGGGCGGGCCCCGGGTGCAGCTCCGGTGGCGGGCAGCGGCCAGCGGTGGCACACAGGGGTGCTATGCGGCCGGGGCCGCCCCGTTGCGGCTGTAGTTTGATGGGGTGCACTTCGTTGGCGAGTGCACGCAGCGCCGGGTAGGCAGCTTCCCGGCGCGGAGACGCCTCGGTGCGCGCTGCCCGCTGGGCTTCCCGGCCTCGGCGGGGCAACACTGGGGGTGAGGCAGGAGCAGCGGGCACCAGGCCCGGGGGGGCGCGCGGCGTGCTCTTGGAGCGGGCGCGGCGCCGGGTCTCGCCGTCGCGAGGCCTGGGGCGCGGCGCTGCGGGCTCTGAGGGTGGCAGATCCGGTTGCCCGTGCCCTCGCTGTTCCTCCATGGTCGGGCCGTCCAGCGCCTCCAGAAAGTCGAAGCTGCGGCAGTGGCGCTTATTGAAAGGCGCGGGCGCGGTAGGCCGGGCCATGGGGCGCTCACATGTCGGACGGCGCGAGGCTGGGCCCGGAGCCGCCACTTTGATGTCCTGGTACACGGTTGACACCAGCAGATCCGGCGGGTCCGTGCGGGTCATCTTAAAAGAGGTCCCCACGCTGGTGACTCTAGCTCACTTAGCCTGGAGGGGCTTTCGCCCTAAGGAAAAGATCCGGGTCAGAGACCCCGACTCACCTCCGCTACCGCCACCCCAGCACAGACCCGTTTTACCTGGGGCGTAGTGGGCGTGGCAGCCCTGCCTGTGGGCTGTGGCCGAGGGCGCCGGCTCCATGTCCACGACCCAGGCACCTGCGAGAGGAAGCCATTGGTCTAGCCAGCTAGGCCGGCCCCTCCCCCCAGACCGTTCCACTTTGGGCACGGGCTTCTGGGATGGGGCGGGGCATGCGAGCGATGCCTGTGGCTCTGGTTTCCGTCTTTTGCCCCCACCTCGTCTCCGTGTCAGCCCCCACCTGCGGGTGAGAGATTAGGGGCGTGGTCCCCACTGGCGGGATAGTGGGACAATTTTTTTGTTTTGACCTTATTTACAAACTCCAACATTGGGTGCCTGCAGCCCTTGCTAGCACGCCCCCTGCAAGGCGTTACTCCCACCGCCCACTGGCTTGATGAACCATTTCTGGCCGGGCCGGGCACAGACCCTCCCTTGGGCTTAAAGGTGCTTGTCCTCATTGCCGCGAGGCGGAAGCCTGAATCCTGATTGCGAACCCGCTGCGGGCTGGTCCCAGCCAGGATGAATCTCTAGGAGCACACACGGCCGGAAAACCTCATGTTCTTTGCAGAAGCCTCCTTGGACCCCACCGTGATGGTTGGGGCAGATACGACAGGGCGGGGAGCGCGACCCCCGCCCCCAGATTTGCACAAATGCAGACGCCCCACAGCGTGTGGCCGCCGCCTGGCAGCGAGAAGACGAGCCGGCTGCAGAACCACGTGGGGGAACGTGTGAGCTGAGCTCATGGCCGCCGTTCTCCGCGTGCATCCGAACAGCCGTGCGCCTGATCCAAAGGGGAGTCGCAGAGGCAGGGGGTGGCGGGACAAGCCCCTTCCCCCACGGCTACGCGGCGAGGGCCCGCCCCCATCGGCGCCGGAAGACTCCATGGAAACCGCGTTCCCGCGGCCCCCACACTGTAGGCTGGGCCGGCACCCCTAATCAGCAGGCTACTCTTAACCACGTCCCTTCAGGGTCCCGGCGGGCCGTGAAGGGGAGGGGGCTACCCACAGCGCCTGCGCCTCGGGCTGTGCAGGGCGCCCATGTCCAGAAGGTCACATGCGACCCTGTCGCCTGGCTCCCATCGGGAACACCCTCACAGTCAGCTGAGGGGAGGGAGGGAGTAGGGGAAAGTCGGAAGCCATCCGTCACCTAGCAAGCCATCAGGTGGACGCGCCGATACGGGTCTCAATGGGACGACCCTCTGGGTCCCCGGTGTGCACAGGCTGTAGACACGACCTCTGGGTCGTGGCCATGAGGTCACAGTCCCTGAACCCACCCCAACCTTGTCCCATCCCAGGTTCTGAAGACCATCCCCACTTTACCTCCCCCACCATCCTGAGCTCAGAGCCAGGCCAGGATCAGGGCCGGTGACGGAGCGAGGCTCCGCCCCAGGGAAGTGGCAGCGCGGTCCTTGCCGGCTGCGGCTGTCAGCAGCTGGACGCAGTGACAGCCCCTACCCAAAGGTTGGCTCGACCCCATCCAAGGTCTCAGACATTGCTAAGCCCTCGCGGTCGGCCGGCCCAGCCCCAGGCCCTGGCCCGAGCAACCCGGTCGGTCAGTATCGCTGGGGGCGGGGACTCTCCATCCTTGCAGACGCAGGCGATGACCCCGGCCTGCGACTGCGGTGTGACCCCCGCCCCCTACCTGGTATTGCTCCGCTGCCCGAGCCCCGGTGGGCTGCGGAGCCCGAATGTTAGCACTGCTGCGTTCCCGGCGCCGGCAGAAGCTTCGAGGCAGCATCGCCGCTCACGGACCGGCCGCTCTGTGCTGCCCCCGGTGGCGGCCGAGAGGGCGGCACTTAAAGGGGCCGCGCCGCAGGTGAGGCTGCTGAGCTGGGTTCCCACTGGGGCTGAAGGAATCCCGCTGGGTACCCAGGGCACCCACCTAACTTGGTGACCGCGCTGGCCTTGCCAGGCCCCACCCACGGGGCACGTCTCGGGGCACGTCTCGGGGCAGCATCTGGCGGGGCAGGAGTCTCCAAACAGGCTCTGGAGTCATCAGGCCTGACGGCCTCAAACCAGGCTGAGCAGATGGACAGCTTCCTGGCCACTGGTCCTCACCCGCTGTGGTCCAAGGTGCCAACACAGGCATCAGTGACCAGATGGTGGTACAGCCTTCAGCCCAAGTGTCAGCTAGGCAGGTCCCCACCCCAGATCCTGTCAACTGCAGGATAACTGGGACCTGGTAGGTCCTGGCAGGGACACCTCTAGGTCAGTCCCCTGCCAGGGAGCACACATCCTGACCTCTGGGCGGGGTAGGCTGAGAGGTAAAGCATGAAGTTCTGTGGTGTTCAGTGAATGCTACCTGTCCCCCAGAATTGGAAAGGGGGGGGGGGATTGTAACAATTGTGCCCCAGCTGTCCCTGGTCATTGCCCTGGTTTGGAGCAGAACTCTGCTCAACCTCTTTTGGAAGGGCCGTTGTCTGCAACAGGAGCTGTTCCCGAATCAACAGTGGAGCTGCTGGGCGAGTGGGGGCGCGTCCAGGAGGGTGGCTTCAGCAGGGGCATGGCGCACGCACTAGGTCTGTAGCCACCCAGACAACCCACAACTGGGGCCCAAAGTCACCCAGCCTGTGTCCCCAGGGAGCCCCAAAGGCAGGCAGAGAAGACAGGGCTCCACATAAAACAGGAGAGCTTTATGGTCCAGTGGAGTGTTTGGAAGAGGATGCAATGATGAGCCCTGTGCCCCTCCGGCCCAAGGTGCCTGGAAGATCCGTGTCCCCACCATGTGTGGGGCTGAGCGGGCGGTGGGCATCGAGGAGCCGAGCGGTGTGCCCCTTGTAAACAGACCCTGCAGGTCCCTTGCAGGCCTCAGTCCCATCCCTGAGAAATGCTAAGGGCCGCAGTGGCGGTCCCCAAGCCCCCCACATCACTGAGGGCACTAGCCCTGCCTGCTTGCCACCCATGCCTGCCGCTGGGGGAGGGGAAGGGGGCTTTGGCCAGGCCCCTCCGGTGAGGAAGCTGGGCTGCGGGAGGGGTGGCAAGGTGGGCCGTCCTCTGCCACCAGCCACAGGTTTGCCGCTGCTGCAGTGTCCGTGGCCAGGCCTAGAGCTCCTCGTAGTCCCCGCCCCCGCGGAGCTGGCTGCTGGGGGCCCCGCCCCCCAGGAAAGCTTCGAGCTCGTCAGCGGCCTCCTTCCGGCTCCGAGGCGCCTTCTTTTTCTTCTTCTGCTCCCTGCCCTCCTCCTTCTCCTTACTCTTCCGGTGTCTGCTCTTCTTCTTAGCCGCCTTGTCTTCCTCCTGGAGCGGGGGCAGGGGGGTAGTGGCCCACCCCGGGGGGACCCTGAGCCCCAGCTCCTTGCTTCGTTTCTTTTTCTTCTTTTTCTCTCTGGAGGGGGCTTTCCCGTCCTTATCTGCAGAGAGCAGAAAGCCAGTGGGTGCCTTGGGGCTCTGGGCCTTCCCGGTGGGACCCACTCTTCTACTGTCTCCACAGCCCCTTTGCTCCTCGGCAGCCCACATGGGACAAGGGCTCTGAGGTGTCTGAGCAGTCCCTCACCCCAGCATGTATAAGAGAACCCCAGGAACTCAGCTCTGTGTGTGTGTGTGTGTGTGTTATTAAGTAGCGCCACAGTGAGAGGACTTTACGGGGTGGGCCAGTCAGCTCACAGGTGACATCCAGTATCACACGGAAGGACACGTGGCCATGGATCACTCTGCTTGGCCAGCCTTGTCTTTCCTGTGAATGGTGGGGTATCCCAGGCCTGGAGAGGTGACCCACTTCTCTGTCCTTGGAAGCTGTGGCATTCCCTGACAGGCACATAGCTGAGGCCAGACAGACTCACCGTCCTCACTGCTGTCCCTGGGGCCTGGCTCCCCAAGGCCCAGCCCGAAGAGATCAGCATCGTTCTTGGGTCTGAAAGTGGGGGCAGGGGGTCGAGGGGGCTGTGCTGGGGCAGGGTCCTCATCAGTTAAGTCGGAGAGGTCCTCACGGACAGGAAATGCATCCTGGGAGAACACCAGGCAGGTCTGGGTTAGTCATCTCGGGAGCCCTGCAGAGCCATAGCACCCGGCATCTGTCTGTCCACTCAGGGCCCACCTCCTGGGTCTGGGCACGCATCCCTACTGGGCAGCCGCTCACCACTCTCCGCTGAGCGTCCGACTCCTCACTCTCAAAGTCAGGGTCATCCATGACGAAGGACAGCATCTGGGCAGCGATAGGCCCCTCAGGGTCACTTTCTGATGATGCTGACTGCTCAGCCCGGGCACCCTCAGGTCTGCGGGAGGTGACCCCCGATGCTTGCACCTCGAGGCTACCTTTGCCCCCACCAGGTGTCTCCAGCACCTGAGACTCCTGTGCTGGTGAGGGGGCGGCCTCAGCCTGAAGCTCCAGTGGCTTCGGGTAGGACCTTTGAAACAGGAAGGGGTCAGGGTTCTGACAGCTCCACATTCTAGGCCCAGAACCCACTCAGAGACGCCAAAGGCCCAGCCTGGAAGCGTCCTGGGTGGCCCTTTTCCTGGTCGCAGCCCTGGGGGCACACAGGCCCCCCACCTACCCCTTCCCCTCTGGCTCCAGAACCGTGGCTTTTGCAGGGCCTGCTGGTTTCTCGGATCCGTCACTCTGCAGAGGAGCAGGCTTGCTGGGGAGGGGGTCCACGGGCAGCGTGTCTTCCAGGTCCACGTCGTCCTGGAAACCTGTCACCATCGGGTTCCCAACCAGAGCCTCTCCATCACTGCAAAGCACAGGGATGTGGTCAGAGGCCCTGAGGGGGCAGTCCCTTGTCCCAGTCCGGGCTAGTCATTCCAGTGGGGTTTGGACAGGAGCCACAGGACCACCAGTGAAGGGAGCCCTGTGGGGGCCAGGTAGAGGCCAGCACGGGCCTGTGCTCGTCTGAGGGCCACTTCCTGTGGCTTTGAGCAGAGGTTGGACCCAGCTGGAGTGTCTGCAGGCTGGTGAGGGAAGGATGTGGGGATTTCTCGAGGGATGGGCTGAGGCCCTGTCCTATGATGGAGTGCCTAGGGGGTCCCTGGCATTGTGGTATTGCCTCTTAGGAGGTTGTATACCTCCTAAGATACATGAACCGCCAAGATGCCCAGAACTGCCGGGGGGGGTCAGAGCCTAGCTGGACGTGTGGTGGGGGCCGCCAGGAGAGGGGCTCAGGCACCGGAGTCCAGTGGAGGAGGAGCAGAGAGGGCAGCCCTTCCCAGCAGATGCCTGCCCCCCACATCCATGCTGCGCCTCTTGACTGGAAGCTCCCCGGAAATTAACCCTGACTTCACTCCATGGTGTCAGCCATGCCAACACTTCCCAGCTGGAAGTAGTGAAAGGAGGGCCCAAGGCCAAGCCCCAGGACCCTAGCCTTCCCCTCATCCTGGGGGGGAAGCATGTGGACAAACCTCTGCCTCTCCTGGCACCCGTGAAGGGCACTGGGGCAGTGCTTTCAAGAGTCTGAGCAGGTCTTACCCTACCTGTCACTGTCCTGTGGGGGCAGGGTTTTGGTCCTCTTCTCGTCCTTTGGGGGTGCTGCATCCTCCAGGAAGCTGCGGTCCAGGCTGTCTTCAGGAACAAAGTCCTCCACGTTCGGGGCCTCAGCAGGTGGAGTAGGCTCTGTAGGCAGCAGACACAAACCCCCCTCACGTGGCTGCTCTGCCCAGGGAGGGGCTTCCAGACACTTGGGGTCCCCAATGGTTCTGGAGAAGTCAAGGCACAAGGCAGGCGTAGGCACCAGGGGACCTACCTGGAGGTGAGGGGGCTGGCTCAGCCGCAGGTGAGGTCCCAAACAGCCGAGAGATGATGCTGCGCCGCTGGGGTGGGGGCGGGCCAGGGGCCAGGGGGGCTACAGCTGGGGTATGGGGAAGCAGGGCCTCGGCTGGCAGGGAGGGGCAGGAGGAGGGGGGGGCAGGCGGCAGTGGGGCTGGCTGGGGGGTGCCAGGGCTGGAGCTGCTAGGGGACGCAGCCCCTGGAGGGACAACAGGTGACTGGGAACCGGAGGCCGGGCTTTGCCCATTGGTGGTGTGGCCACGGCTTCGTGCATCCATCATCTCGAGGAAGCTGGGGGTAGGAGGGCGGGGCTGAGCAGGGAGCAGAGACCCCCCCCAGCACTAACAGGTTCCCCGGGCACAGTCCCCAGGTCCCGAGGCGGAACACGGACAGGAAACCCAGCATTAATGGGCTCGCTGGGCACAGTAAGAACAGTAAGAGGTGCGTGGAGCCAGCGACAAGCTGCTGACTGGTAGGGCCAGGGCCTGGGTTCCTGGAGCCGCTCGGGGGACCACTAACAGGCCCTTGCACCAGCCCATTACCTAGGTGGGGACCCCACCCCCTGTCCCTAGCCCTAGGAGAGCCAGGGGGGTGGGCCTTTTGAGGTGGGTCTCTGGGTGCCCACAGCTGTGCCACTTTGCATGAGGGTGGTGGTACAGGGGTCTCTAACTGCTCAGGTCCCAGGCCAGCACTAAGACCACCTGTTCTTGTCCCTGGTGGGTAGAGGGGCGCTCACCAGCCTGGCTCTGTCAGGCATGCCCTAAGGCATCTGGAAATGACCTATTCTCCCTCCAGGGACAGGGTTCCACTCCTGCCCACAGGTTGGTCTGCCTCCTGGCCTCAGACCCCTCCAAAGCAGGGGGAGCCTTCTGGGGGTCCTGAGTCCCATGACTCAAGGTGACTGGACCAGGCTTACCGTCATGGTGGGTTGCAGGAGAGGCTACGCCAAGTGGAGTCTGGCGCCTGCACTGGTGGTGACCACAGCCACGCTGCAGAGCTCACCAGTACCACCACGTTCAGTATGGCCACACTGCTGTCCCCCAGCAAGCCCTTCCCCATTCCCTGCATCCCCTGGGGCCCAGGAGCCGCCGGAGCAGCCCAGGATTGGCTCCCCAGGAAGACTCTGGTCTCCTGATTCCGGGCGATGACCTGAGTCTGAGCCTGTGTCTGGTTGGGCACGGACCAGGCAGGGGCGACCTCACCCCACTCCCCAAGTGTGAGCACACACAGCCCAGCCCAGATGAAGCGCACACACATCTTGTCATTCCCAGTGTGGGCATACAGCTGTGCTGCCCACCTGCCCGCCCGCCCCCGGGGGGTAGGGACAGACGAAGCACACACACATTTCGTAATTCTGCTCCTCCGTTTCCTGCTGCACCGACAGCTCCTCCAGCGTAGCGTCCATGTCCAGCTGGTTGGTCTCCAGCTGCCGCAGCAGCGTCTCCCTCTGAGAAAGGAGGGGGACCTGAGCGCACAGGCTCCGAATGTCCCCCACAGGGACAGGCAGTCGGCACAGGAGGGCCTCAAGACCCCAATTTAAGTCGGAAAAGGAAATGTCCGTTCCCTTTCCCCATGTCGGACTCATCACTGCCAACCGTCCTGGGGCCGAGCTTGGGCTGCAGCACCGCTGGACTCCCACAGATCGAGGGGTGGGGGCCTTTCTGGAGGCACCAAGCTCCCCAGCTGAGCCCTAGGCACAGTGCCTCTGTTCTCGGCCCAAAAGTCTGACTCTGGCCCAGAGTCTAGACCTGCGCTGTCCATGGTACCATGGTTCCACTGGTCCACACTTCAGTTCACTCAAGTCAACCCTTTCGTTATCTGTGGGATGTTCGAGGGGACTTCAGAAAGTTGGTGAGAAAAGGCCAGCATCATCTTTTCCTTCGGTTTACCAGCCTCGCCTCAGGTTTCTGGGGAAGCGGCAGCCCCAGGGCAGTATGTGCTGCCACCTGCTGGGGCTCTATAGAACTGCTCACTAAGGACCCCTGTCCCTCAGAGCTGCTGTGTGACGTCCAGTCAGTTCTGACTCACGGCTACCTTGGTAGGCTTTCCAAGGAGCTGCTTTTGAGTTTGAACCACTAACTTTGTGGTTCAAACTGACCTTGAGGTCGAGTGTTTATCCCATGACACCACAGCAGTAACTGCGTTGAAATATTGCCCACACGTCCATTTGCACATGCCTTCCACCACTGAAAACAGGAGGTCAAGAGAGGGCTGAGGAAAATGCACAGCCCGAGGAGGGGGGTGTCTACTGGACACCACGCAAAGGACAATGCAGGAGACAAGGTGTCGGCAGTGATGGTGGGGAGGTTTCTGGGGGAGGAGGGACAGGGGTCTGGGCTGTAAGCCCACTGGTGGTGGCTGTGGGCCGTGGAGTCGGTTCCGACTCATAGTGACCCTGGACAGGGTTTCCGAGGCTGTAAATCTTTACTGGAGCAGAAAGCCTCATCTTTGTCCCGCGGAACAGCTGGTAGTTTCAAACTGCTGACACCTTAAGGTTCACAGCCCGATTCATAATCACTATGCTACCAGAGTTCCTTAAGCCCACTGGAACGAGCCAAAGGGGAACCTTCAGAGTCCCGACGAGGAGAGGTGCCCCGGCCTTTTGGAGAGCTTGAGGTTAAGGAGTGGGCAGAGGGCAGGGCACGGGGTCTGCACAGTGCACGCAGAGGGGTGTCCAAGTCAGACCAGCACAAGCTCAGGCCCCCTTCTGCCAGGACCCACCTGCAGCTGCAGAAAAGGGATGTTGAAGAACTTGTGAAGGTATTTTAGGCCGAAACTGTTCTTCATGGAGGACTCAGCATAGCGGAAGGAGGATGAGCCCGGGGGCCTGTCACCATGAAGAACACAGGTATGAAAGACACAGCAGACAGCTGGCTCCGTGCCACCATGGGCCACACCGTGCCGGGGCTACCCACCCAGCTGTCCCGGAGAAGGCCCAGTGCACCAGTCATGGGGCCAAGTGGGCTGGGGGAGGGGACGGGCCTGCTGAGACCAGTCCATGGCGGCTCCTCAGGGTAGCGCCCCAGATGCCGCCACCACCCACCTGTCCAGGTGGTCGATGAGGTCACGCACGTCATCGGGCAGGATCACCCGGTGTTCCCCCATGTCACGGTAGTTGCCCAACACGCATACGGGGACGTGAGTTGGCACTTTGGGCAGCTCACGCAGGATGTAGTTGAAGGTCCTGTGGGGACGGGCGCAGTGAGGCTGCAGGGGAAGCCCAACTGCCCTGGAGCTCTGGAACCGTCCCCCCAACCCCCCCACCATGGTGGGAGCTGCTCTCAGTGGGGGAAGCCACATCCTGTGAGGCCACCAGTGAACTGCTGGACCTGGGCGGGAGCTTGGGGAGCCCTCACCTCCTGATCAGAGGGCGGCCCATGGTCTCAGGGGTACAGAAAGTAGAGCTGCCCCCTCCCTCACCACTGCTTGGTGATGTCGAACATCATGACCACCCCGTTGCAGTTCTTGTACACGTCCAGGAACTCAGCGTCCAGGGCCAGCTCGGACTCCGCCTGAGGAGGCAGGGAGAGGTGGAGGCATCACACCCCCTGACCCCACCCTGTCGGAAGGGACAGGACTCCTAGCCCCAGCCTCAGGCTCGTGTCCACTGAGCAGGTGGCTACAGCCCTGGGGAGGCTCCAACCAGGTGCACCTACCTCCTGAGGGTCGTTCTCCATTTTCAAGGCATCCCCGCGCCTCTTGCATTTTCCTTATGAAGAGACAGACGGGGGTTATGGATCACGCTGCCCCTGCCTCCAGGGTGTGGGCCATCTAGACACCCGGGCCCAGTGACCACCACAGGGGGTGGGCTGCCCAACCTGAGTAGCCAAGGCCATGAAGATGGGAAGATGGGCTGCAGTCAAACCTCCGAGGGGCCTAGAAGCCATGCAGCCTGAGACAGGCCAGGACCCTTGCAGTGAATGGTAGTTGGTCTCTCGGGGACCCCAGCCCTGGCGCACTTCTCTGCCAGAAGGAGCCACTCAGAAGGCTGGACCAGCTTGGCTGGAAGTCCCACCCAACAAGTCAGACCCAGGAGACTGCAGCCAGGAAGGGACAGTCACACTGGGTGGAAACCACTGTCATTACTAGTTGTTGTGTCCTCAAGAGGACATGCGTCCCTGAGGCATGGCCACTCTCGGGCTGGAAGGGGACAGGACCTACTGCTGGTGGATGAGCACTGGGTACTTCAAACATCCACGCACACAACACCTCACAGAGCACACAACACCCCACAGAGCACACAACACCCCACAGAGCACACAACACCTCACAGAGCACACAACACCTCACAGAGCACACAACACCCCACAGAGCACACAACACCCCAGAGCACACAACACCCCACAGAGCACACACCCACCTTTCAGAGTCACCCTCACATGCACACCACACCAACCACACATACCATATACACCTCGCCCACCCCACACTGCACACACGCTCACACCATGCACCACGGCGTGCGGTGGCCACAGGTGCTCACCCAGGGGGTCACCAAGGAGGGACCTGTGGCCTGAGTACAAGGAGAGGCAAGAAGAGGTAAGACAGCCTCGTGAGGACACACTAGGGCCGCTCACCCAGAAAGGAGCCCCCTGAAGGGGCCCAGCAGCCAGCAAGGAAAGGGCGGGCGATGAACGTCTCACAGAACCATGCGGCTCACCTTTGTCAACCACATCCCAGACCTCCACTTTCACAATGTCGTCAGTAGCTGCAACGAAAGGGCCTCAGCTGAACCCCTGCAGTGAGCAGCTCCCACAACCCCCTTGACCAGAACCCCGAAGACGGCACCCCTCGACACCAGCCCCGAGATCCCAAGGGCATCTCTCCACATCTGATTTCACCCAGAGATGCTAGCTCAGGGGGAGCTCCAAGGGACCATGCAGAGAAAAGGGGGCTCATCCTGTGGGAAAGCCTTGTACCCGCTTACTCTGGTAGTTCCCATGCCCCCCATCCCCTTACTCTGGTAGTTCCCGTGCCCCCCCCCATCCCCTTACTCTGGTAGTTCCCGTGCCCCCCTCCCTGCCCCCCTCACTTTTGTAGTTCCAGTGGATGCTGGTGACCTGGATCTCCTGGGTGGGGATGTATTCCTCCAGGAATCTCTTCCCCTGCAGCCGATGCCACAGGGCTGTCTTGCCCGTGTTCCTGTCCCCACGGATCACGATCTTCACTGGGGCAGAGACCAAAAGGAGGGGACAAACCAATGTCACGATGTCACCGACTGTCCTGCCACCACCCGACACAACAGGGGCACCTACCTTCCCCACTCAGCCAGGCACTTCCTAAATGGCCCTGGCTGGGGGGGGTTCCCTGGAACAAATGCTCCCAAGCTCCACCATTGCCCACGGCCGTAGTGCCCAGAATTGCAGTAATCCACTCTTAGCCTCACTCTCACCGTCAGTCAGCGTGTCGAACTGCATGTATGAGTGTGTGTGTGTATTGGGGGGGGGGGACTGCATGTTGCTAGGATATTGGAAACTCTGCCAGCAGTATTTCAGACAGCAGCAAGGTCACCCACAGAGGGAGGACAGGTTTCAGCAGTGACTCCACACTTAGACTAGAAAGACTGGCCTGGTGGTCTCCTCCCCAAAACAAGTCAATAAAACCCATCTGAACCACAACCAATGACAGGTGTTGTTTACAATCTTGGGTGCTGTCGATGGACCAAAGGCTGGTGCTGCTGCTGAGAACGTCCATGCCCATGCTTGTACAGTGCCCAGGGTGAGGATCCTAAAGCTCACCCAGACTCGTATTTCCAAACAGTTTCCTAATGCACTGCCCATTCAACATTCCTAGGCCAGCCCTAGGCAGACACCATAAGGCCCTCAAATGGTCCAAATCCTTTTCCTTGTCTGTTTGGGGGTACAGGTCAGAAGAGACAAGCCCACTGGAGACCTTCTCCTGAGCACCAAGGTCGCTAGCCTTCTACTGACTCAGCGTCTTCGTCTTCACGGATGGACAGTGTCCCCCTTTGGGCTGAGTCCACCTCATTCCTGGGGAGGCTGCGGGATGTCGGTATCTTGTGTCTCAGCTCCAGGGTGAGGCTGGACTTGGGAAAGGAGTCGGTGAGTGTGTCCAGGGAGACCTGTTAAGGCTGGTGGGTTTTGTTCCTTAGGTGTGTGGCAGAACTTGTCAGAGGAGCCAGCCATGATTCCTTCAGGAGATTTCTGCCTCCTGATGCAGTGGCTTTCGTGGTTATGAAAGGCAATTTTGGCAAGTTTTTAGTTTTTTTGAGAATTCATCATTACATCAAGTTTTGCCAGAGGTGTGACACTACAGGATAAGCACTGGACTGCAGGGTAGGTTTGAACTTCAAGGTTCAAACTCACCAGCCGCTCCTTGGAAACCCTATACAGGGTCACTATGAGTCAGAACCAATTCAACACCAACTGGGATGGAGCTCCCAGTGAAATTCAATGTGAGCCAATCTTTCTGGTCTCGGGAACAACTGTTATTATGCCTACTGGTGGAGGCAGTTCCGACTCCCAGAGCCCCCACGTACCCCCACCCCCTCACAACCGTCCCTGTGTTTGGGCTCTCACAGCTACTGTGTCGGTCCATCTCGTCCAGGGTCTGCCTCTTCCCCGCTGACCGTCAGTCTATCCATCCTCCCGCCTGGGCCTCCATCTTCATCGCCACCCACTGCGCTTTATTCTCAAGGGGCTGCTTCCTGCTCCCGGCCTCGACGTCCCCTCTATTTTCTGTAGGTCTTCCTTACTCTTCTCCAGAAAATGTCTTATGTTGTCTTATTACTTTCAGCTTTTCTTCTTCACTACGGCAAACATTCATTCGTTACACATCTTCCCACAGGGTTGCTATGTGGGGACCCTAAAAAGTCTTAATATGTGGGCTTTTTGTTGTCCAATTCTGTTTCCTTATTTCCAATATTTCTTCTTTGCTCGAAAGTGTGCCACTGAATTTCTGAATGTACAATGAAAAATTGTGGACTGTCTTTATTTGGACTTCTAGAGAACGTGTCAGGATATCATCAATTCTTTGAAATACATACGAGCCAGCTTGTCCATGTTCTAGCTGTGGCAGAGGGAACCACGAGGGTTTTCCGGGCATCTCGCCCCACTTTCTCTACGGAAATCAACACCTCAGTGATGGCTTTGGTGCCCGGTGGCTTCCTGTCTGGAGTCAAATCCTGGTGTCCACACCCTCAACTACTTGGATTAACTTTTCTACTGAATTACACAACTGACCTCAATCACTGTGTATTTGTCAATTTCTTCGTTTAGCCCTGTCAGTTTTTCCCATACATGTGTACTGCACTGAAGAGTCACCTTCTGTGTAACGGAACATTAATGAAAAGAAATCATCTCTAACTAAGCAGACACATGTAGAACACGCCACTCACTTCACTCCCAAAACAGCAAAATACACATCTAATCCCAGTGTGCAGGGCGCCTCCTTCAGGGCAGGCCACACTGGAGGGCATAAAGCAAGTCCTGGTAAGCTTTTAAAAGACTGAAATCATTGTAAAAGGTTAAGAAAAGTTTTTTTTTTTTTAAAAAGACAAATCATACAAAGAATGAGGGGGCTTCAAAATGTCTGTGGAGAAGTGGAATGAAAAGGTAAGAGAATTTCCCACGATCTCTTAGGAGCTCCCTCATATTTTCTCTGACAAGAATGGAGTGGAGTTAGACATCACTTGTTGTTATTGTTGTTATGTGCCATCGAGTCGGTTCCGACCCATAGCGACCCTGTACAGGGTTTCCGAGGGTGTAAATCTTTACGGGAGTAGAAAGCCTCATCTTTCT